CGTGTCAGCGTAATTCCTTCGAACGCTCTCTAATTTTCTACAATATATCTCGCAAAAGCTTTCGCTAAAGCAACGCCGTTTCGCTAAACGTCCCGATAAAACTCGAATAAAAGAAACGACGCGGTAAAATGCGCGACGATCGTCGATCATCGGGTTCTTTTTGTTCGGCCGCGAACGAATTCAGCATTATATTCCACAGTAAAATTGTTTTGTATGTGCATTGTTCGTGGATCGTGGTGCAGAGTGTCGAAATATCCAAGGGGAAACGGTGCGCCTCTCGTTTTGCGTGTGTGCCTCGAATGAATGTGGGTGTGCACGTGTGCCCCGTGTCTTCGATCGGATCGGCCGAATTCCGCCACGTGCCTTCCCGCGCGATTGTTTCCGTAAAATCGCGGCGCGCGTCAGCGAAATAATACAGAACGCCCGAGAGAAAATTGTAATTGACTTGCCGCCGCGCCGTTCACAATCGATTCGCAGCGTTCTAACGCAGCGCCGCACGCCCACCGGGGTTTTAATTAAATTTTTCGACGCCCCGTGTTTGCGCAAACACCGTCAAACAACGATCGCGCGCGTCCAACGCGACGAAACAACGACCGAGGAATGAATACCTTAATATTGGATTGATTCATGAATGAACTTTACCCGACAAATTGAAATCCTCTTGTCAAACAAATACGCCCGGATTTTTAACGGATATACATCGCCGGTAAACAATCGTATAGCATTAAATCATTTCAGTTCTCGCAACGTTTCCTGTACCGATCGAGTAAGCTTGCAAGCGGATATACCGAGCGAATAGTTAATTTGCAAGCGTCAAACGCTGTCAAACCTCTTCAAACGAGCGCAAACAGCTCCGGATCGAAGCTCAACGCAGAACTACCGTTCTAAGTTAACTAATTTGGAGGAAAGCGTACTCCTGTTGTCAATCTAAACACTGACAACCAGGAGAGAGTGCGGAGAAAAGAACATGGCGGATCCTCTGCGCAGAAGAGTGTCATGCAGCGCAGAATACCCGGGAAATGCAGTGTGAATCGCGCAGAGAGCTGTTAACAGGTAGCAAATCGAACTCGATCTCGCAGCAACTAATTAAACGCAGCGAGGGGTGTCGATTACGTGTGCCTCTGTGTGTCTGTGTGTGTGTGTTTGTGGTGGTAGGTATGCGAGGCAAAAACGAGATTGATAAAATAGATAAAATGGAATCGAGTACATACGCTCGCTCAACAGGAAGCTCGGTCTCTTTGAACCTGCAACCCAAGGATTCACATACATGATATTGTCTCGCCACACACCCGACAATCACGTACAGAATAAAAAAAGGCAACGAGAGGATCAGTTTGTTTTTTTTTTCCTTCGACACGTGCAGCGAAGCTCGAAGAAGAAAAGGATAATTTAATCGATCGGAAAAAAGACATTGCAATATTATTGAACTCGAAATTACACGGATCGGCCGGAACGAAAGTTTTGTTGAAAACAATGACATTTATATTCTTGCTGCGCAGGAACGACAAAGTATAACAATAATATATGACTAAGCACCACGGCCATCGAGAGAGAGAAAAGCTGACGGTAGTTCTCAAGCTACACATATAGAGACAAAGAGATCGTAAACTGTTTCTGTACAGTTGCGCATTAACATAACATTACTGACGATGCCTGTATCAAAGATTCCGACAAGTTCGACGTGAACTTGCGTGTGCAACTTGCAGCCCTGCGTGAACATCGAG